TTAGCTATTTCCTTTACAAGAGACATTTGCTTTGAAAATATCATGACTCTTTATAGTGATTATATATCTGTATATTTGTTCCCTAAGGGCTCCATCCAAAACATTTGTTACCTCTTGGGTGTTGCTTAATCCTTGGGACAAAGTTATGAAAGCCACAGGTCTCTCTCTGCTATTCTCTCATAACCTCGCGGGTTTGGGCTTTGATACAGAGTGGATGTGGTTGTTTCTAGCTTTATCTAGAGAAACTTCAGTTTACAGGCCATGTCACATTGCTCTGAAGCATGAGTTCTGTGGATCATTTGGCAGGGTGAGAGGCCTCCAGAACACCGAGTCTGCTTCTTCCAAGGTGTCTTGAAGAGTGGCCTGGAGTACCTTCTGTCAGAAATGCTGACCTTCTCCACCTCCACCACAGGTGTCTTTGGGGGATTGCTGTCAGCCAAGAGTTAGGAAGTAGCCATGTTTGTGCACACTGTTGTCTCTGGGAAGAAGAAACCTCTGAGTAAGGGTCTACCTTTTGACATATGTGTGCCCTGTGCAAAGATACAGCCAAGTCTGCCCATTGGGCTCATTGGGGCTCAAGAGAGTGGGAATGCACCTGGGTCATTTTGTTGTTCTTGATACCTGCAAGAAGCTTGTGAGGACCAAGACTTTAATCAGACTCAGCAGGGTCCTGATCTGCTCCATCTTCTGTCAGGGTGGCCTTGAGTGATGATGGATAAAGTTTTTCTATTTCTGTAATCCTTGACTTTCTCATTTTTCTTTTCTTTTTCTTCCTCTTCCTTCTCCTCCTTCTTCTCCTCCTTCTCCTCTTCCTCCTTCTCCTCCTCCTCCTCCTCCTCCCCTCCTCCTCCTCCTCCTCCCCTTTCTCCTCTCCTCCTCCTCCCCTCCTCCTCCTCCTCCTCCTCTTTTTTCTCTGCTTAGTCAAAGCAGGGTCATGCTAGGTTGCCCAGGCAGGCCTCAAACTTTTAATCCCCCTGCATCAGCCTTCCAAGGAGCAAGATTCTAGGTGTAAACTTCTATCCCTGGCTTAGTTTTCTCATTGAAAGTGCAGAAAAGAATGCTGGCTATGGACGCTCATGGTGACATTTAAATTCAGTGTTTCCAAAAGGATATTCAGTCCAGCAAATATTTGCTGCAGATGCTGCTGTTGCTGCTTCAGTGTAACCTCATAGATTCTGTTGCTTGATTTATATTGCTTATTTATTTCTGTTTATAATCTTTCATTTTTAAGTTGACAAGTAATAATAACACATGTTTGTTGTATTGTGTGGTAACTCCAGGAATGCACATAACACATTGATCAAACAGGAGTAATTAACATCTCTCTCTCCTTGTTTATTTACTGTTCTTTGTGTCTGGAGCTGCAACACACCTAATTGTATTCTTCATAAAACATGTAACAGGTTGTTGTGAACTATGATGTTAAGTTAATACTCCTTTCTTTATTTTGATGTCTACTGTCCAGTCTCTCTTCTCTCTTTACAGCTTCTAGTAATTACAACTCTCTTTGAAAGACCATTAAGGTCCACATGTTAGTGTGGGTAAGTGATAGCTGTCTTTCGGCATCTGGTGTGTATCACTGAGCTGTGTGTATTTCAGCTTCATACTTTTTTGAGACTGAATAATATTCCATTGGATATATACACTATAACGTCTTTGTTGCTATGCTGGTGGACAGTATATGTTAAGGGTTAAGCACATATCCTGGCTTCTGTGACTAGTGCTGCAATGACTGTTGATAGTGTAGCTGCTTCTTCAGCACACTGCTTTGATTTTCTTGGCTACGTACCCAGCGATGAGATTGCCGAATCACGTAGTGGTCCATAGCATTCTCCAGAATACCGTACCAGTCACATTCCCAATAGCAGTGTACAGGTTCTTCTTTCTCCACATCCACACCAACAGCTGTTATTTTCCTAACTTTATCTTGACTGTCTACAGTGACAACTGCAGCACAGATAAGTGAGACCATGGCAGCTGTTCTGGACGGACCACAAAGCAGCACAGCAGATGCAGAAACATCTGTAGTGATGCTCAGAGCCGCGAGCGCTCTGTACCCTCCCCCTGACTCAGAACCTGTGAGGAGGAAAAGCAGAAACATTGCCTTTTGTAGTATCATGGGAAGTGGTTAAAGGTAAAATAGCATTGTGATTTTTAATGGATTATATTATAATTTCATAATGCTCTTGGAACAGGGTGTCCCCAAACACATGATCTAGGACCTGCTGTCGGTGACACCAGGTTTCATCTGTTTGTCTTCTAGCAACTTAGAAAACCAGAAACACGTGTACTTACAGAGATATCTACAGAAAAGGTCACCAAACCATTCTTTTTCTTGCACAAATTTCTTCCCAGTCGTAATCTCAGGAGTACATACACTGTTGAGATGTAGTGACTCTGCAGCTCGCCAATAGAGCCCTGTAGAGTGAATGGGACCAGTGCTCATTGTCAACACTATTGTGTTCCTTCTGTGCTTAGCAAGCAGGAGCTAAGGCAGAGAGTGGTCTCTATCTTTTAGGAGCTGAATATTAAAACATGGCATGCTCAGTGTCTTAGGAGTAAAGCAGAAGATGAAGCTTTTAGCAGAGAAATTCTGGCAAGAAGGTGGAACTGACTTGAGCCTCGGGCCCATGGGTAGAGAGAGGAGGTGGCACCATGGGGGCAGGTATGACAGCGAAGCTAACTTAAAGACATATATGGAGATATGGAACTATGTCTTAGGGTCATATCATGTAGGAGAGGTGGATGTTAGCCCTATTCTGACATAGATGAACTGGGGAGATGAGACAGGCAATGTTAGGAACAGGTGAGTGTATGTGTGTGTGCGTGTGTGTGTGAGTGTGTGGTGGGATGAGGGGTTGGGCCTGGGGTCAGGCCACAGGGATGGAGTTGTAGAGGTGAGGAAAAGAATGTTATAGAGCAGTGGTTCTCGACCTTCCTAGTGCCGAGACCCTTTATTACAGTTCCTCATGTTGTGATGACCCTCCCAGCCATAAAATAAGTATTTACTACTTCATAGCTGTAATTTTGCTTCTTAGGCTCACGTAGCTGGTCCTTGCAGTGGGTTAAGTTTACAGTGACCACGGTCCTATGTACTGTGTGATGTTTTAATGACTGTTTGCCTGGAAAAGTGCTGTGCCCTTGGAACCTTATAGTAGTACTTTGGGAGAAACCAACAGGAAGTAGGTCCTTAATGGTTTCTTAGTTGGGCCTTGGATACAATATTACTGAAAGGAATGCCATTCTCCAGAAGTAAATGTCTAGGCCCTCTCCATCAGTGAACCCAAGCTCAAGTGGTGACCGACTGCTTTGCACTCATACTAAATAAGGGAACTAAGTATTTCTTTTCAACCTGATCATCTTTTGGATCCCTGGAGTGGCTCTGACTTTGGTGAGAAGTGCTTCTCTGGATGTAGTTGATATGGGCACTGTCAGATCTGTGGCATCAGCAGCTTGGCATGCTGCCAAATGGTCGGTGTGGTTAAATATCCCACTTGGTTGGACTCTGTGTTTCTAGTTCTGGATTCTCCTCCTTCTCAAGGCAAAAGCTGCTCACTCCCCCACAAAGGTGAAGTTAGGACACGGGCAGCGAGTTCTGCCCCAGACATATGGAATGTAAGCCCAAGCCACAGATATGAGGGTCAGAATAAGGGAGTGAGAGAGCCTGCGTAAGGTACTCAGTGGTTTCTTTAGCGTGAATAGGGATTACTCCAAAGTTTTCCGGCTCCTGGCATTCTGTTACCTTCAGTTTATCAGAGCGGATGTCTATAAGGATGGGTAAATTACTCCAACTCAGCCCCAAGAGGTTTCTTCCCTGTTTCTAGGGAACTATTGATTAACTGCCCCATTTTCAAATCACTGAGAACAAATACCTTTGTCTACAACAGAAGTAGGCAGACTATGTCCTGTTCCCTCCAGTCTGCTTCCGATTTTTATGAATAAAGTTTTATTGGGACAGTGCACGCTCGTTCATTTAGACATGACTATGGCTGCAGCTACACCCTGAGGGCAGAGATGAGTGGCACACTACTTTATCTATAAAATAAAAACCGAATATCACTTAGTTTTTTTCTCATCATTTTTTAAAATTTATTTTACATACCAACCACAGTTTCCCCTTTCTCCTCTCCTCCCACTCCCTTATTTGGCTCCTCCTGCACCTCCCCCCATCCAATCCTCCTCCATCTCCACTTAGATGGGGTAAGAGAAACAACAAAGCTTGGCATATCAAGCTGAGATAGGATCAAGCTCCTCCCTGCCGTATCAAGGCTGAACAAGGCACTCCACCACAGGGAATAGGCTCCAAAGAGCCAGGTCATGCATCGGGAACAAGTCCTGGTTCCACTGCTAGGGGCCCCACAAAACACCAAGCTACACAACTGTCACCCAGATGCAGAGTGTCTAGGCCAGTCTATTTCTGACTCTCTGACTGTTCAGAGTCCATGAGCTCCCACAGGTTCAGGCCAGCTGTCTCTGTGTGTTTCCCCATCATGACCTTGACCCCCCTCCCCCCCTTGCTCATATCATTCTACCTTCTCAAATCCTTCTACCCTCTCTTCAACTCTACTTAGCTCTCGACTGTGGATCTCTGCATCAGGTACGGATGAAGGCTCTATGATGACAACTAGGGCCATCACCAATCTAATTACAGTAGATGGCCAGTTCAGGCATCCTCTCCACTATTGCTAGGAGTCTTAGTTGGGGTCATGTTTGTGGGTTCCCAGGAGCCTTCCTGGCACCAGGTTTCTCCGTAACCCCACAATGGTCCTCTCTATCAAGTTATCTTCCCTCATCACTCTCCTGCTCTATTCGGCCCACAACTCGACCATCCTGATCCCTCATATTCCCATCCCTCATCCCACACACCCCCATTTACCCAGGACATCCCACCTACTTCCTCTTCCCTGAGAGATCCTTGGGTCCCTCTTAGGGTCCTCCTTCTAGCTTCTTTGGGGTTGAGGATTGTAGTCTGGTAATCCTTTGCCTGACATCTAATATCCACAAACACGAAACGCTTCACGAATTTGCATGGCATCCTTGCGCAGGCGCCATGCTAATTTTCTCTGCATCATTCCAATTTTAGTATACGTATGAAGCGAGCACACCACTTAGTCTTTACAGCAGAGTTTGAGGTTGTGTATGTGGTAATACAGGAGCTCTGAATGCACCAGGATCTTTCTACTAGGTGTTGAGACATGCTGATGAACCAGATCTCAGCTATAGGAGAAAAGATCACATATGAAATAAGTGACCCCGCTTTACTGAAAATAAAAATGATGCTATCAATAAAGGAATAGATATTAATCATAAAAACAGAGATACATTAAAAAACATCAATCACGATTGCTCTGACCTTTTTTTTTTTTTTAAAAAAATCACACCTGTATGGAATGTGCAGCTGTTCTTGTGAGTTTTTCTAGGCTAGATTGCATTTTTTCCTTAGAGCAGACGTTGAAAAGAAAAGCTATCGGAGCATGCTGTTCAAGCCTCCATCTTTCACAGACAGGGGCTGGCTAACATCTGAGGTGGCCTGGTAGCGCGTTCCCTACTAGCTGTCCTCCATATTTTATGGTCTGGTCTTGCCTAGTTGCAGCCCGTGTCTTGAAGTTTTAAGCCTTCTTTCTTAGTAGGTATGTGCCATCTTTATCCCTGACTCTCACCCATCTTTCTGATTTAGCTCTTCAACTACTGTCTTTGCAAGGTGTCTGATTGATTCGTCTGAGTCCCTTCCTAAGAAGAAACGTTTAGATTCTCTTTTGTGCGGCAACAGTTTACATATAAATTATATCACTGCCAATTGTATTCTACCTCTGTGAAGGTCAATCTCCATTGTCAGTTGGGTTGGATTTGGTATCTGCTCTGGTGATAGACTCCCTCAGGGAGCCTACTGTTGTCTGACCAAGTTAACTTCCTTCAGGTCAGTCCCAGTTTCAGGGAACAAAGTTCTCGCAGAAGCGTGTTCTGTCTGTCACCTCCCTAGTTCCCACCAAGGAGGGGAAATAAGCAGGGCACAGACACTTCAGCGTGCGGAAGAAGAAGCAACTGGCCATGCCTCCCTCCTCCACAGAGGAAAGGAGCAGGGTGGACATGCACTGGTGGGTCTTGTGCTCATATAGAAATCAGGCTTCCAGAAATGTCAGTGAAAAGTTTTGAAAGATCCCTGCGTTGTCGCCTTCAGGGCTGTCCTTTCTCTGATGGAGCTGGGAGATTTCAGGCTGGAAAGACTCTGAAAGATTCCATCCAGCTGTGATCTCACAAGCTGAAGAGTGAACTATGCAAAGGTGGCAGACGGTTGCCCAGGGCATTGTTTCATGAAGATCTCCCGTAAGAGAGATTCGTCAACAGACTAGGAGAGCTCTCCCCACACAGCTTATCCAACCTCTAAAGGCTTGGGTTCCAAGGAGCATCCAATTAACTGCAGATAAAGGCGCTAGACAGAGAAAGGACAAACTTGCCTGCTTCTACCTGATAATGGTCCTTGTGTGCTTAGATACCGAGACTTGGAAGGGTAAGTTCAAATGAAATACAAGGACAGAGAGACTGGACATTAATTAGGAAGAGACGAGTTTGGCCACATTCACATGGTCATCCTCCCATCTACGCTGTTAGCCTGCAAAAATCTAGGAAGCTGACTCTTTCTGTCTGGATTCCTGATGAGGAGTGCTATCTGCTGTATACATTCTTTGTTTTTCCTTTTAAATTATAAGATATTTTTCAGCACTAAGGACCCAACATAAGGCTTGATACGTGCTACCACTTAGCTATGTCCTCAGCCCTCTTACTTAGCACTCTGAGACAACGTCTTGCTACAAGTCTCACATTAGACTTGCACTCACTGTACTTCCCAGGAAGGCCTTTAGCTTGCAATCCTCCTGCCTCAGGCTCCCAAGAAGCCATATGAAATTCCTGATAGGATTTTAGCTCTTTGCTGGTTCAGGCAACCAGTGAATGAAGGGCTTCTCCCTGCCCCTCACGATGATGCTAACCCTGGCGAAAAGCCTTTTCCTGGGAAGGAGATTTGTTCTAGATGTTACTGTGCTGACGGCTTCAAGGAAATGGCAAAGGGCTGTGCCCATGTGAGCCTTCTTAAATACACAGATTACAGAGTGATTACATTGTTATTTGGAAGTCAGTGAAGCTGGCTAGAACCAGAGTGCTGACAGAGAGTCGGATTACACAATGAAGATACTATAAGCCATGTAGTCCTCGGGCTCTGCCTGCCTGCGGCCCGGGTTCACTCTGGAGTTTACAAAGGTCTGTGAACTCACCTTGTCGTCATGTAATCCATGTTTTCACAGTAGCCTTCTAAAGTGACAGCCAGTGTCACTTCTCCACAATCTGCAAAGTAGTGTTTAGGGTAAGAGATGAACTTGCTTTGTTTGTTTGGGTCCCTGTGGCTAGATTCATAGAGCTTTGTGGATAGAAACTTGTATATCAATGTCTGTGGTTTGAAACTTGCATTCTTGGACTTTTGTTAAAAGCACTGAACAGTGAGTATGGCCAGGCAAGCTGGTCCTCCCAGTATTTAGTCTTGTGGAAAGTCTAAGACACACACAGCAGCTCCCAGGGAAGTCTCTTCAGGTTGGTGAAGTGGGACAATACTGGACCACAGGCAGTCTTGGGTAAAGACTGGCCCAACCTGGGATGAATTGTTATCTCTCCCAAGGCTCGAATGAGCCACTCTGTGAGCCACTGTGTGGAGTGAAAGAGGAGGAGTAGCAGGATTTTTAGGCCAGAGAGTCCCCCTGGGATGTTTGTCCTCAGAAGATACTTAACAACATCTGTCAGGAAGAAGGCACCATGCGAATTAGAGAGCAGAGGCCTAGGGTCCTACTAAACATCTTACAGCACACAGGAAATCCCATGCTTGACCTTTCTCCTTCCATCTTGGTAGAGTCAGTTGTGGTATGACACGCCAGGTAAGTGCTTTACCACTGAACTGAAGCCTTAGCCCTAAATTATCTTTGCTGTGTAAATCTATTTTTGAACCTCTGAAATTAGGGTCTGGAGCGCCAAGATGCTGTGTTAAAGTAGAGTGCTACTGGGCGGTGATGGAGCCCGTAAGACTTGGAATCTGGTAGAGTGCCTCTGTAGGAACCGTAGACACTCCTTTCCTGTTCCTTGCTTTTGACTTTCTGCTTTGAGTTGAGTATTTGGTCATGTCTGCTCCTACTGTGTTTTTGCTGTTTTCACTCAGACCCAAAAGCCATAGGCCCTCCAACCATGCACCAACACCTCTAAAAACGCAGGCCAAGACAGCTCTTTTCTCTTGTGAGTCCAATATCTCCATAGTAGTTATAGTTGTCATTTTGGTAACAGAAGGCTGACTGACTTGACAGGCATAGTGGAGGTGGTCAGTTCAATGCTTTTTCTGAAATCTAGGGGGAAGTTCTACCATTAAACATAGGGGATAGTCTACTGTGTGCCTCATTCTCTCCTCTTCAACCTGGCTGGTTAACCAATGAGGAGAGATGATTGAAAGGGCATATTTATTTCCGTGTCAAAGAGCACCTGAAATCTATGTTTAAATCAGTATGACCTGAATGTTGCAGGTGTTCTGATTTTTAACGTTTTCTCTCAGGGCCATATATATCTACAGGGCAGTTTCTTGTCAGAAACCTAGCAACAGCATGGAAGCTGGAAAGGAGCCAATGTTAGGACGTCACATATGTGGGCTGCAGTTCCCACGCTAAGATATAAAGACAGTTTGGGTAGAGTGGAGGATGCTATCCGTTCTGAGACTGAGAAAAAAGAAGATCACTCTGTGTGCTGGAAGTCTCTGTCATTCGTCGACAAGCTCTGAGGAGGAGGAACTTGGGTGAAAGGAGATGTAACATTTTGGTGGCTTTGGGAACTCTCTAATAGTGCTGGCATCTGGTACCTTGATGTTCTCAGGTCTGGTACTCTTGGTGTTTGATGTTCCATCAATGCTGATGACTGTTGCATGATGGCTGTGAAAGTGAGAACTAGCAGGCTCTTCAGAGGGAGGCAGCCCAGCAGAACCATAGGATTCTCCCTGGATACTTCTGGTGGCTCTTCCCTGGGCTTCTTACTACCAGGGCTCAGCTCAGAGACCCATAACAGGTGAGGCATGTCTCCTCTCCTCTCCCCACCCCGAGTTAGTGTTGCCTCCAATGGCTCCAGTGCCCTCTAGATTCCTCTTAGAGTTCTGTTTGGTAGTCAGCATCCTTGGGATCCTGGCCAAGTCAAGCCTCACATTCCAGTGGTCTATAGCTCACCTCCCTGGGCCTTGGAGGTTGTACGTTAAGATGGTGAACGAGCTACAGTCATGTGTTTCATCTCTAGCCAGGCCTGGACCTTGGAGGCTGCAGGTTAGAATGGTGAGCAAGCCACAGTTGTATCTGTCATCTCTAGCCAGGCCTGGTCCTTGGAGGCTCTAGGTTAGAAGGTGAGCAAGCCACAGTCATGTCTGCCATCTCTAGCCAGGCCTCCACAGGGATGCTCTTTTTCTTGCTCTGGTTAAGGAATTGATGTTTTCCTAAAGCTAGAACTTGTTTCTGGAAAATGACAAACAGGCTTAATGACACCTACATCTATTGTTGTTGTTGTTATTATTATTATTAACCAAATCTTTATACTCCATTCTTAGTTAATATGCTTTTAAACTATGAACATAAATTGGCAACACTATGTACCGAATGTCTTGTGTAACATCTCAAGTATGGAAAGAAAGTGATGTAGGAGATGAAATACCAATGACTCTGATACTTGTTTGTTCTAAAGATCAGAGTTAACAGAATGTTTTATGCAGTTCATTTTGCTGATGCTGTCACCATTGGCTAATTGTATATTCATATGCATATGTGTATTTATGAATGTGTATACACACATATGCATGAACATACACATATATTCACACACATATATATGCATGTATATTCAAATCTGCATATGCACACATATGATTAGTGGCTGAAATCAATGATTGCTAAAACTGTATTCTCTTCCTGGGCATAGACTATTATATAACTTATTTTCAATATAAATGTAAAGATTCTTTGTTTGAGTTATATGTATCTATCAGTCTGCAGGTCATATGTCATACATAAATTTTACGACTGCCTATCCATTTTTGAACACAGTG